CTTAATATGCCTAATGCTGTTCATTATTATTTCTAAGTTTGCCTAAATGCATTCACACCGGTATTCGAGTAATCATCACACTTATAAAAAGTTATGAAAGTTGCGTGGTTTTTGGCGACTACTGTATACATGTTGTAGAGGGTGTAAATTGCTGTCAAACGAGCACCAGAAGACGAATGTGCTCTAACAAAATGTTCGCATCGGTTGATAAGGTTACGCGAGAAGCCATCGAGGGTGTTGAGTTATGGCCCCTCCTGTCTTTTAGTTTTATTTATCGCTCGGGATCAGACCCGAGGTGTCGGAAGAGGGTGATCGTCAACTACAGAAAAAATTCCCCAAGGCAGAAGTCAGTAAGTTAAGTTAGGGTTGAGAGTGTACTGTAGTAACATAGCTAACATAAGTCTCTGCTCCAATTGGAGCAGCCCGCGCTGAATAATTTGTGGGGCCAATAACGTCACGTTCCTTTGTACGTTCACTTTCCTCCTGTAAAAGTAGGACTGTCTGCAGGGGTCGCATTTGTCTTTGACTTATAATAAAAAGGACTACTTTAACATTTTCAGTAGCCCGAATTTTTAAAGTTTTACCTTTTGTTTCATTACCTATTGTTTGGTGGGGGCGAACCCAAGTGGACTCTGCAGAAACAAGCTGCTCACAGTAAACAAGCCTGTTGCTGGGTTTGTGCCAAGCCACCCCAGCGGATTGACGTGGGCTCGCCCTACAGTCAAATCTCCTCCTGCCTATTCCCTATTCCTTCTGTACGGAATATACTGTTCCTACCATTCTGGCCTTCCCATGACTTCTCTCTTCTCCTGAGGAAACGAGCCTGAAGATAATGGTGACGCAGATTAACCTTATTTACCTTAATTCCCCCATAACTTCCCTGTTCACATAGATGCCCCTCCACCAGAAAGGAATTCCCAAAATGACACAAGTGACACTATTTGGATTGAATGTCACTGCCTAGAGTCTCCCGTTACCAAGCCAGGGAGAACGTAAAGCATTGAATGAGGCGGAAGGTGTTTAGAGTTTAAGCTATTTGAAAGCAGGCAAAAACAGCAGAATTAATTGATATCAGCAAATTTCGAGACAGCTCATCAGCTGCTACTTTTTGCTGCATAAGTAAGATAACGAGGACACATAGAGCAGTAGGGAATTTCACAGAATTACTGGCAATAGCAAGGAACGTGGGTCACTTTAAAAAATAATCGATAAAGGACAGGACGTTAAGTCAACATATGGGAAGTAATGAGTTAGGGAAATTTACGAAAAACACTTGGGAACTAAATTAAATGACCAATCACCAGGGTTTGACGACACGGTCAAGCTCCTTGCATAGGTCAGGTTTCTCCCACCGTATGTATGCAGCTCCCAAATAGCGCAGGAATCGG